GCAGAAAGATTCCGGTGCCCCCACCGGGACGCGAACCGGCAACCTTCTTGCTGCGAGGCAACAGTGCTACCAACTGCGCCACCTTGCAGCCCCACACAAAACATGCACACTTTATTTTCTTTTGATACGTATTCTGAGTGAGTGGTGAGCAACCTTTTAAAGAGCAAAAAAAAAAAGTCATGTGCAGCACCCTTAAAAACTCATGTGCTGATCGTACTACATGTTGTGATAGCTGCAGTGCTGTGTGTTAAATGTATGATACTAAATGTCACAATTTGTCTTTTCTGTATATGTAGTTTACCACCACTGGCCTCAGTCACAGCCGGTCACATCACATCCAATGACCAGCTGAGTGCCTACCTCACCTCGGCCTTTGGCTCTGCCTCCCACACTGTGCTGCTGTTCCTGCAAGACAAGGTCAGCACCTGACATGCAAAAGCTGATTCTTGCTCTGTAGTACATATACTTCTGTCACTTCAGGGTTCTTTGAAAGCTAGTCCTCCTTGCGTATGCAAGTCGCATAAAATGGGGTAGTAATGAATCATGTGTAGTTGCTCAGCAGACCCATGTGACACTGAAACAGTCTTCTCATTCTGGTGTGACAATGAGCTTTGGCATGACTTCCCATTTCACAGTTTCTTGGCAACACATTGTCAAGGTCTTTTCTCTGTGGTCAGTGGTCGTTGCTGTAACTGATCCATGAGGTTGATTAATGTTTTAGTTGTACTGCAATTTTTGTGTTTGTTTGTCTTCAGTTAAGCAAAGATGACTTCACAGTCTTTGGTGGAGTTTTTGGAAACAAGCAGGATAATGCCTTTAAAAACCTTGAGGTAGGTTTTATTTTTTTTTTAAAGCTATATATTAGTCTAAAATTAAGACCATTTTGCAAGACAAATAAAAATGATAATTCTTTCCACTCTATTCCTTTCAGGCTGCACTGCATTCTTCTTCCTCATCAGTGACACTTCCAGCACTGGAGTGGTCAGACTCCTCTGCCATCCCAACTCTGCTGCAGGAGAAGCTTGGTGTTTCCCCTCTCCTTGTAGATGCAGACACCTTGTCACAACTGAGCATCAACACATCTGTCAGTAATCTACTGCTGATCAATTTGCCGTATTGTACCGGGTGAGACTTTCTGTGATCTATTTTCTATTTTTAAAATGAGATGTTGCGTGCTTATTTTAATGTCCTTTTTTCTCATTGTGTTACAGTTTGTACAAGTTGTGCAAGGAAGTCTTACAAAACAATGGTATGTTTTAACTTTTGAAGTGAAATCTAAAGTTATTTGTAATCAGCTGTGCAGTAGTAAATTAATTTTTGATGTGTGTAGTTTGTAACTCAAATGTATTTTGCTGTCAACAGATGAGATTATTGGAAAAGTTCTGAGTATCATGAAAGCCAAAGATGTCCCATACACTGCGATATATACAGGACTCCAGCCCTCACGAGTAAAACATTATAATTCATTGTGTAATTTGCCATAGAATAACTGTATGCAGTTAAAGTTTAAATATACTCTGGATGTTTGATTGGATATTATTTGACATAAAGTATTTTGACTACTTTGTAGGTGATTTCAGAAGCATCTGTGCTTAACCAGCCAGTGGGCCGGTCCTTGCTGCAAGCAGCTGCACCTGTAGTGAACCCGCCCATCATGTTTAATCAATCAGAAGGTCCCTGCATAATGCTGTGGGCTCAGAATCTCAACGTCAGCCTCTCAAGCACTTCAGAATGGATCGACCTGGCTTCACAAACACCTTCCTTGACAGGATCCACATGTAATGGCAGTAACTCACTGTAAGATGGTGTTTTATTACTTGATAAAAATATCCAATTTTTAAGAAGTTTTTTTCTTAGTGTTTACTAAACAACTTTATTTTAACTCCCTGTAGGCTCGTGCTCAGTTATGCAGCAGGTTATACACTAAGGTAAGGCAAAAAAAAAAAAAAAAAAAATTTACCTTCTTTAAAAAAAAACATGCAGCAACAGTTTATATGTGTATATACAGTGTATGTGTGTGTGTGTCTGAGACACTATTTTGAACATAAGTTAACAACCACATGTAAACACCATGTGTATCATTTTAGTCTTAATTTCCTGTAGGGAATCACTGAAATACATGCATCTTTGTCACAAAACACAAGCATGCATTCTGGTTCTTTAACAGATTTATTAAAGGGCTTCTAAAAATATGACAAAATCTGCAGGTTAAAAAATAGCCGCCCACAAGCTTCTGGTTGTATCTTTGACCACTCGTCGTGACAGAATTGGTGCTGTTAAACAATATTTGTTGGCTTTCTGACACAGAATTATTTATTTATCGCAGTCTACAGGTGCTTGATGAGGTTTAGGACTTTGGGAAGGCCAGTCAAAAACCTTAATTCTAGCTTGATTAAGGTTTTCTGGCAGCATGTGGTGGCACCTTACTAAAAGACTTTACGTTGGATTTTCTCTTAATTTGTCACCCATCTGTAGCTTCATATTTTAGTGAAATATTTAAGTGCAGTACTGATGTTCCCGTCTACCTTTTGGTAAGGAAACAAAATTGCATATGCCCGTAAATGTCAAACGATTCTATTCTGACAACTTGGCCTCAAATTTAAACAGTTTCTCTGTTATAAACATTTTCCCCAATCTTTGAAAAGGCAAAACAAATCTCAGCTGCTGCAGAACAGCAAGCAACATTCTTAAACATTTTTTGCCTGCTTTTTTTTTTTTTAATTACACACATGGACAAGTTGTTGGTACCCCTCGGTCAATGAAAGGAAAAACCCACAACGGTCACAGAAATAACTTGAATCTGACAAAAGTAATAATGAATAAAAATGCAATGAAAATCAGACATTGCTTTTGAACTGTGTTTCAACAGAAATATTTTAAAAAATAAACTCATGAAACAGGCCTGGACAAAAATGATGGTACCCCAAGAAAAGACTGAAAATAATGTGACCATAGGGACATGTTCAATCAAGGTGTGTCCTCTAATTAGCATCACAGGTGTCTACAAACTTGTAGTCTGTCAGTTGGCCTATTTATAGGGTTACACGTAGTCAGTGTGCTGTTTGGTGACATGGTGTGTACCACACTGAACATGGACCAGAGGAAGTGAAGGAGAGAGTTTTCTCAGGAGATTAGAAAGATAATTATAGATAAGCATGTTAAAGGTAAAGGCTATAAGACCATCTCCAAGCAGCTTGATGTTCCTGTGACGACAGTTGCACATATTATTCAGAAATTTAAGATCCATGGGACTGTAGCCAACCTCCCTGGACGTGGCAGCAGGAGGAAAATTGATGACAAATCAAAGAGATGGATAATACGAATGGTAACAAAAGAGCCCAGAACAACCTCTAAAGACATTAAAGGTGAACTCCACACCATTATTGTCAGATCGTACCATCCGTCGTTCGAGCCAAAGTGGACTACATGGGAGATGACCAAGGAGGACACCGTTGTTGAAAACAAATCATAAAAAAGCCAGACTGGAATTTGCCAAACTGCATGTTGACAAGCCACAAAGCTTCTGGGAGAATGTCCTTTGGACAGACGAGACAAAACTGGAACTTTTTGGAAAGGCACATCAACTCTATGTTCACAGACACAAAAATGAAGCATATCAAGAACAGAACACTGTCCCTACTGTGAAACATGGAGGAGGCTCTGTTATGTTCTGGGGCTGCTTTGCTGCATCTGGCACAGGGTGTCTTGAATCTGTGCAGGGCACAATGAAATGTCAAGACTATCAAGGTATTCTAGAGAGAAATGTGCTGCCCAGTGTCAGAAAGCTTGGTCTCAGTCGCAGGTCATGGGTCTTGTAACAGGATAATGACCCAAAACACACAGCTACAAACACCCAAGAATGGCTCAGAGGAAAACATTGGACTATTCTGAAGTGGCCTTTATGAGCCCTGATCTAAATCCTATTGAACATCTGTGGAAGGAGCTGAAACATGCTGTCTGGAGAAGGCACCCTTCAACCCTGAGACAACTGGAGCAGTATGCTCATGAGGAGTGGGCCAGAATACCTGCTGAGAGGTGTACAAGTCTCACTGACAGTTACAGAAATGGTTTGATTGCAGTGATTGCCTCAAAAGGGTGTGCAACAAAATATTAAGTTAAGGTTACCATCATTTTTGTCCAGGCCTGTTTCATGAGTTTGTTTTTAAAATAATTCTGTTAAACCTCGGTTCAAAAGCAACGTCTGATTTTTATTGCTTAATTTTCATTGAATTTTATTTATTATTACTTTTGTCAGATTCAAGTTATTTCTCTGACCATTGTGGGTTTTTCTTTTATTAACTGAGGGATACCAACAATTTTGTCCAAGTGTGTAAATCTTGAAATATTGTCATGTGACATCTGTCTTTCTTGATACTACCACTAGAAGTCGCCAGAGTCAGGTATTTTAAAATCCTTGGCACAGGTGTGTAATTGTGCTATTAAGCCCCGGTTTAATAATAGCAGTCACCCTTCGTCACAGCTCTAGCAATAAACACTGGTCTTTGATTCAGATATGTTCATTAAGATACTGAGCACCCTTTTTTTCCTGAATCTCCAGATTTGCCATGACTCAGCGCTTCTATCCTGTGTCTGCACGGAACTGGTTCAGCCTGGACTCTGTACAGCTGCAGGTGAATGGTTCAACTGCATCTTTCATTGGGAGGCGTGGAATATATGCCCCCGCAGAGTATTCCTTCCACTGCCAGTCCGTCACCAGCTTCCAAGATGCCCTTCTTCTCCCAAACACCACTGACCAGCCTCAGTGGAGGCTCAATTTTGTCAACTTCCAGGTATGACTGTAGTGTTGCATTTTTTTGTATCCGCCACTCCTGTAGCAATACATCAGTTGCTATATTTATGAAGAGTTTGAAATAACTGACTCATTGAGAATTTTGTACGTTTCCTATTTTTCACGATACAGATTCAGGGCTTTGGTTTGACCAATGGAGCAAATTTCTCCTATGCCAGTGACTGTGCAGGATTCTTCACCGCAGGGATTTGGATGGGGCTGCTGACCTCACTGCTCATGCTGCTAATTTTCGTGTACGGCCTGCACATGATCATGCAGCTAAACACCATGGATCGATTCGATGACCCCAAAGGTCCATCAATTTCAGTGCCTCAATCGGAGTGAAGCACTTCACACACACACACACACACTCCTGAGTCTTCCAGTGCTTCCTAGTAGGTTGTGGACCTATGACAGCCTTTCCCTCTTTTTCACGTTGCTGTTATATGTTCTGGCCTTTTTCTTTCAACGTATTCGCCGGGAACACCAACCTTTCCCCTGAGATGCTCTGCTGTGGTTGCTTCTCTGAAATCTTTTCAAATCTCTTTTTGGATAAGGTTGTCTTGTAAGGCACATTCCACTTCATCTCGCCATATTTACAAGTGCCAATATAGGATACAACTTTTTATTTTATTTTATTTTTTTAATCGATCGATTTTGGGTGCATGTGCTTAAAGATGTTCATGCACCACTACCGGCCAATAATATAAGAATTTGCACTCTTACCAGAGAATGCCTTCTTTGCCAACATGAATGTAATCACTAAATGCTGTAGACCTCAGACCTCAGTTCTTACTTTCCCCCCCCCAATTTAACTGTAATAGTAATAATAATAATAAAAGAAGTGCCTGTATATATATATATTAAAAAAAAAGAAAAAGAAATCATTTGTGATGGGTTCTAAAGTGTTGCCGTTTTCAAATTGCCTTACAGAAGTATGCTTATACTTCCATTTAAGTTAGCTTTGTTGTCACATGGAATGTACACACATGTACACCAAATGCAATCCAATGGGTTGTTTTTTGACAAGTAATATATTTATATAAGAAAGACTTTTTCTTCCTAGCCTGCCCTTAAAGTTTGCTTCAGGTTGATTAATTTAATGACAGTGCCTCGGTCCTGCTTTTGTCAAACTTATTGATGTGCAAGTGCCATGATGTGTACAGTAAACTGTCTTTAATTGCAAATAAAGATATCTATTAATTGTCAAGTCAAGTGTGTTTCTTTTATAAAGCTCAAACCTTCAGTGGTATTTATGGTGGGATTTTTACCTGTGAAATATTAGGTATTAAAACTACAAAAAATATATAAAATAATACTTTATGTATCTAATGTAATATTATAGCTAAGACCTTTTGGAATTATCAGTTAATGAAATTAAACGGAATGAATTGAATCTTGGGGCTGCAGGGTGGATCGGTGGTTCGCACCGTTGCCTCGCAGCAAGAAGGTCGCCGGTGGACCTGCGTGGAGTTTGCATGTTCTCCCCGTGCAGCGTTGGTTCTCTCCGGTTTCTTCGGCTTCCTCCCACACAGTCCAAAAACATGCTGAGGTTAATTGGGGATGATTGCTAGTTTCACAGATTGACTTGAAAACTTCTCCTTTTCCCCCCTAAAGTCTTTAAATTTAAATGATTATAATATTTTACATTTAATGAATTGCCGACGTCAGAACACATGTTTTGTTGCTTTTTCTCCTTTGGTTGCCAGGTAACAACTATCTCCTGTCACGTGACAGACTGTAGGGCCAGTTGGAGACCAAGCTAACCGTGTGCTCGCCTCTTTTTTTCGTCCAGCTTCTGTTATCTACTTGCAGGGAAGTTTGTTTTCAAAGATGTCCGCAGCTGCTGGCAGGTCTCAGGAGAACAAACGAGTTCTCCTTCGTTCTCCGCCTGGAAACCAAATGTCACAACAAGGAGCACCGCATGTCGGCCCTGGTCACTATGACAACCATGAGGTCTGTGTCTCAAGACCAATTCAAGATGGACTGAAGAGTTACACATGTTTCTAGGCACAATAGTTGTTTACAATGCTTTTAAAATACCTAAACCAGTGTGTTTTCAGACCATAAGGTTTTTGGTGATTTGTTTGTCCATTATACGGCCGACATGTCATCGTTTTCTTCACAGTTTGGCACCATAGTTTATGACTTAGAGAAGAGACCCGTGAGTAAGAAAGGATATTCTCTCTGTGCGAGAACTGCAGCGCGCTTTCCACCTTGTAACAAGGTACGTGTTGACAGAGGAAGAAAAAAAAAATTCTGACTATTTACAAGAAAAGGCCTAGTAAATAGTGTTGACAGCAACACTAAAGTTAGACTATATGTTATGTAACTATATATATTACAGTATCTGCTATAATTACATTAGACTAGATTGCTGCAGTTGGAGCAAGTTTCAATTAGAATTCCTAATAAAATCAACCAAATCTGAAAAAGTTCCTGCCTGTCAACCTCAGAATCAGACTTATTATTATTATTATTATTATTTTAATGTGAAATATCTTAAGTACATTTAAGCCGTGCAAAAATCTTTGCCTTAATGCAAGGAATCTTGTCTGAGTTACGGGCCCTTAGAGGACATAGGGGGTGTATCAAAATGATGTGCTTTGTAGCTGAAGTTATCGTACAAAAAAAAAAAACATAAAATAAAATAGAACAGCTGGTCCTGAGGGTGTCAAGTGAACACCGACTTTTCATGGAATGGCCCTATTCAGATTCTTTCCTATAGTAAAAGTACCATAATAGTAATGTAGCAATACGCATTACAAGCAAAAGCCATGCATGTAAAAACCTACTGAAGTAAAAGTACATAAGTATTAGCAGCAAACCTGGTTGTATTCTTCTGATTGATATTTTATCTTACATGATTTAATAGTGAAGCATCAGTCTCTCAGCAGCATGCTACTGTTGGAGCTGCTGCAGGTTTAAACTACTTTATATTAAAATATTAGATCATTTGAACATTTGTTGTAATGAAACCATGTGAGGAGATTAGAGGGGGAAATTCCTATTTGGTGGAGCTGCTAACAACTCATAGACATGTGAAGTGTGAGCCTGCCTACAGACTGCTGTTTGTAGATGCTGCAAAAGCTGGAAACCACAAAAACATGTTGTGCTTTAAAAACATACTGTAATATCCATTGTGTAAAGTCTCCATCTTAAAAGTCACTAATGCTATCAGATAAATGCAGTGGAGTCAAAAGTACAAAATCTCAACACGTGGGATAGATGGTTGGTCAAAACAAGTTATAGCAAATGAAAGGGTTTGCTTTTGACTACATTCTGATACCAGGCTCATCGCCCCAATCATGATGCCTTCTCTATTTTCGGAGGTTGATCGTAAACATAGATATCGAGATTTGTCAGTATTATCTTTGTTTGATTCTGACCACTCATTTTAAAGCCATTTCTTTTGAGTCAAACAACCTTATGGAGCAACAACCCTATTTGCTGGAATACCTGTTTAACATGTCCCGCTTAACTTAAAGATGTCTTTTTTAATGTTGATCACCAGACAGCGACTCCTTCACCACAGCAGTATCAGCGGGATCAAACCAGGTCCAGAGTCGTCCCTCCTGGCAAAACACCTTTTAGCTCAACCACACAGAGGTTCAGCAGCATGTCAAGTACAGCCGGAGACAGTCCAGGGTGAGACAGAGACGCACAGCTGAGATGTGACAGTGCTGGACTGAGCTGACACATTTTATTTTGTGACGCAGGCCTGGAGCGTACGCTCATGATGTGGTGACGAACAGGAAAGTGAGCTGGCCAATGTGCTTTGGGAGCCCAGACTGGCCCAGACTGCCTCAGCTAGAGAAGAAGTCCCTGAAGAGGAATGTGAGTGAAGCAAATCTATGAATTTCAGGACCTCAATGTTTTGGAACATCCATTTTTAAGCTACAACCTTTGAGACACAAGAAAAGACATGAGGATGTTTTGCACAGTTTCACTAGGTTTGTTTGGTTAATGCTAAAAAGCCACAGTTAAAACTCTTGACTGTTTCCATGATTCCATCAAGGGCAACTTAATGTTGGCAAAGGTAACCACATCTGTCAATCAGCATGAAGCTTGAACTTAAACACTTTGTTTTTTCAATTCATAATAAACAGTTAAGTTTAAAACTGGTAAACTTGGTTGGAGGTTGCATCCTGAACTATTGCTTGGCTGACCTCCAACAATAAAACATAATGTAAGATGTGGTTGTTCTTTCCTGTCACTAAAGCATGTGAATTGCGAAGTCTTGTCTCAGAATGAAACATCCTCATAGAGTTCAGGTCTGAGAAACCTTCAAACTTGCAATTGTTACTTAAACTGGACTTTGAGGGCCAGAATTCACAACTTACAAGTGCCTGAAATAATTGTTTACAAGTTAACATTCAACAACAAAGTAAAAAAGTGCTTTTCCCAAAATGAACTATTCTTACAAGGTGCTTGATGTGCAAATATAAAAGCATGTATTGGAGTTGTAGAGGTGTGTGGCAAGCCTTTTTAACATTAAAAAAGTTCCAACATCAGTTGTCGAAAGTTCAGTAAAGTCTTACTCGTGAAAATGTAATTACAGATAACTTAAAACTAGAGTTTTGCTAACTCTATAATGAATATCTGATATCTGATGAGTAAATGCCGTAGACCATTTACTGTATGTGTTAAAGGGCTTGTCATAAGAGGTCTGCTTCCTGAATCCTCTACAGATTTATACACAACAGTTGCTAAAAATACATCAGTATCTCATAGGAATCCTGTTTAGGGGGATAAATGTGTATTTTTTCAAGTTACATGACACATAACCTAATGCTCTTTTGTCATTTTGTTTTTTGTCCTCAGCTAACTGGTGAAAAGGAGTTCCTTAAGCAGAGGAACAGAGTGGCGTACCTAAGTCTGTACTATTAACTCTAAAGTTTGAATAAAATCCCATCTTTTGACAACTTTTGTCTTCAACAAAACAAGGCTAAAAACTACTTAATTTGACAAAAACTGTTGTCAAGAAAAACTGGTTGTGTCAGAGTTTAAAAAAGAAACTTATTTTTCTTTATTCACAACATGACTGGATTCATGTAAGGTTACACAGCAATGTTGCTTACAAAATGACGTCAGACAAATATTAAACAAGCTGAGTGCTTGCTGAAAAGGTGACGGTTAGCAAAACAAAGTTTATCTTCAACAGAAGTCAGTCTGTATGTCAAAGTCAACAGCAATACTTGTCCTCCAACTGAGAAACGGCAGCCGCTGGTCCCGGCTCACAAAGCCAGTTTCAACACAGAACTGCTCCTCTCTGTGGAGGGAATCGTCAACTGGACTGCTGAAAGCACCAACCACTTGGGCAAATAGGAGTCTGTTGGTACAGGACAGCCCTGATTCATTTCTTCCTCCTCACTTTGGGTTTCTTGACTGGCCGGAGGTACGGGTTGTCAATCACGTTGTCCTCGTTGGCCTTGGCGGATGGAACAACGCCGCTGGGAGGAAGCATGGAGTTCTCTTTGTCAGCTCCTGGATCATCCTGAATGACGGAAACAAAAACAAAAATGGAAGTCAGCAGTCATTATGTCATATAACTGACTATCATATCCATACATCATCATTTGAAGAAATAGTACCACATTTGGGGAAATATGGTTGTTTGCTTTCTTTATAAGATGTGTGGCGTAGATTATCAATCATCCAGCCATAGTCATTTTAAGTGCTACCTGTGGGTCAATACTCAACCCAAACTCAAAATATCTGGAAACTCTATTACTAATACTTACGTCTGTGCACGCCTTGCTGCATATATAACATTGCTCAGCTTGTGTTTGGATGGGGTTTTTTTTCCACCAGGATGCTGTGTTAGGAGAAAGTCTCTAAGTTTTTCAGACACACCAGTTACACCCGTGACACTGGAGAGCCCATGGCATAGCTGTGCTTTGAGCTTAAATTGGTTGGTAGTCAGGCAGAGGTCAAGCAGGATGCATAGCCGATTAACGGTAAAGTTGATTCCATTATTTAAGAGCTGTTTTTCAGATTTTTTTTTTTTAGTGACTGTCCCCACTGTCTCAAAAGTAGGTATACATGCAAAAAATTAGGTGACATCAAATGATACCATAGTTTAATCAGAGGCCCGTTTCAGCTTCTGGACCTTGTGTACAAAATTTGTGGAATTTTGGATGTATGCATGGTGTGGCTTCTCCAGCATAAAGCCTGAAGAAGCCACACTTCTTTTTAAGGGCTGAAAATGGAGAAAGTCACTGATTATCTATCATACTATCGGCTTTACTGTGGAGAAGCCACACCATGTATATATACAAACTTTCAAAGATACACAAAGGAGCCACACTCAGACCTATAATCAGCATCATTAACTCAGTCACACATTGCAAATTACAGAATTTCTCCAGTTTTGTCAAAAAGCTCCACCTGATAGGTGGTATCAGCTACAATTCATTCCTAATATTCCTCCCCAAGCAGTGTCCCCACCATTCACATCTTCATTCACTTGGATTTCAGATAAGTAACAACCCACTGGTGGCCCTACATACATATATACCTAAAACTCCCCACCAGTCAGTTAGAGCAGAGGAAGTCATGGATGAGAGGTGAAACATTTTCAAGAACTTAAAGGTCAGTTGCTCTCTAGCTTGGTGAAATGACTGACACTTTCATTTATTTGCACAAGTCGGGTAGCTGAGTAAGTGATTAGTTCAGCATGTGGCTGCAGTGAGCCTGACTCTGTCCATAGTTGAAAAATCTGCTTTACAGCCTCTCTAAAGGTAATTAACATACATGTATTTAAACCATTGAATAACTAGTATAAAACAGAAATAGTGACAGCACATAACTTCCTCTAAAAGCCCAACTTTCACGTGAATATTTTTGTATGGATTACACAAATGAGACACACTGTAAATTACTTTGGTTCAGAGATGATGGTGGCCCTATTTTCTAACTTTTGTCTGACCTCCCCCCCGTTTCTAGTCTCTAAGCTAAGCTGAACTAACCATCTCCTGGCTCTAGCTTCCCACTTTAAGAGCAGATATAAGAGTTGTATCGATTTTGTCATCGAACTAATGGTAAGGAACACAACTCCCAAACTATTAAATTTAACAGCATCTCATCAACAACAAACAAATCCCTCAGATCATATAAATAACTTTTGCACTACAACATGGCAGTTCTTACTTGTGAGCCACCTTAGTACGTGGCATCAAATCAAGCCCAGGACATGCATGAATAGATTCCTTCATCCTTATGTAGTCCTTCAAGAAATCATCTCACATTGGACTAGAACAAAAGTTCTAATATGGACATCTGTAGTAGAGGTGTGTGCCTTTAATTGTTTGAAGAAATCTGCCCTTGGTTCCTGGGAAAACTACAAACAGAAGCCCAGAACTTTTAGCTTGTGAATCTGAGCATCCGTGCGCTGAAGACTGTCACATGCCCAGAGACAAAGATGCCTTCTCCAAAGCCAATAACCCAATGCAGCTGTGGTAGCTAAATACTAAATGACCGTGAAATGCGGTCAATGTGGTAATAATGTGGCTCAACCTTTCAATTACAGTGGTGTATGCTAGTTTGTGAAAGATCTCCTTTCTCTATCACACTATTAACAGTAAGAGCATTTCTAGGAAATGAGTCTTATGATTACCAGCATGCTCAAAGGTGGTGTCATTTTCAGAAATCTTACATCATCCAATTTCTGTGAAAGAATTGCGAAGGAAAAACACTTTCTGACTAATTATCTACAGTGCTGCGTACAAAATTAAAATCACGTCAGAGTGAGATTTCCCAAGAAATCCTTGGAAGACTGGATCCATTCAAAGTATTGACCATTTATCGTCCTGGCTGATTATTGCAGCTTTGGCTCTGATGCAGCTGTCTCTCTTATCACTCCTCTGTGGTCTGCAGCAGCATGTGATTGACTACACTTCAGAAAAAATAGCCAATCACCACTGAAAGCTACTATGCGTCTGTAGATGGGGACAGAGCAGCACACTTACAGAACGGAGAAGTTCTGATGAATAAGTGGAGCTGTGTTTTGAAGGTGAAGTTGTAATAAACAAACTTATCGATGTTGCAATAAACAGAGGAGAGCTTTGTAGTGTGATGTGAATCTCAAACATCATCACTCCTATTTCTCTTGTACATATTCAGCTATAGTATTCATTATTAATAAGAGGGTTCTCTGCAATCACATGCTCTTCATACATAACACATTTTAATGCATATCGATATGAAATATTGGTAATCGGCCTCCTTGATTACTAATTATCTATATTTGTCTTGAAAACAAAAATTATAAAGAAACCTATCCCCATTATATTCCTGAGCAGATCATTGAAAAAAAATCATTGGAAATCTTCCAAACCTAATCTAACATGCAAAGCAACCATATTGATAAATAAGGTCAGTGTTTGCTACACATGCTGCAGATTTACCAGTTTTATTTATGGTCCCCAGTCCTGTGAACTCAGAGACCCTGATGACATGAATAGTGCAACGACAGACACCAGGGTCCAGCTGTGAAGACTTACTGTGATGATGTTTCCTGCTGTGTTCTCGCTGTCGGTCTGGTCGTCCTGCTCAGACGAGTCTGTCTCCTCCAGTGTCTGCAGTTCCAGCTCTGACGGTAGGAGGGCGCTAAGATATGGGATAGTACTTGGCCGGGCTGCGATCACTAAAGACACAGTCACAAGGATTAGAATTCATGCAAATACAAGGTGCTTCTTTCACTAACATTGAACAGACAATCAGGTTAGAATGTGTGATCTCACACACATTAGTCAGTAAGTAACTGGTCAGTTTGGTCAGGATCACTTACAAGGAAAGGCAGTGATGTCGTCTTTGAAGAGGCTTTGAGTTTCTCCGGTCTTGGCCATGAAGCGTGTGAGGGCGCGCTCCACATCCCTCCTCTGAGTTGCTGCCTTTTCTCTCACCACTTGGTACTCCGACACAGGCTCTCTGAACGTCTGCATAATGGAAAATACGTCTCAGTGATTTACTCTTCAATACAGTATTTCCTAAAGGAACTAGTAAAACTTATTTCAGTTTTCTTAAAGGGGTTCTGACTCACAGGTGTTTTGATGTAGGTGTGAGGGTCGGGAAACTCTGGGAAGTGGCTGGGGATGTGAGGCGGATGTGTGCGTTTCTGTCCAGCTGACAACGCTTTGGGAGGCGCAGGTGCATTCGTCACTGGAGCTGAAATTCATAAAATCCAAATATTTGTCAAATTTAGACCAGTAAAGAAAAAATTGCAGTTAATGATTACATTACTTCTTTTATTATCATATTTAAATCAGTTTAAAAATGTATTTTTATTATCCCTAACTTACAATACTAATCGTAGAGAGCTGAGTGCCTACTTACGGGCAGTGATGACCATCCTTTGTGATCTTTTGGCATATACAGGCAGGGTGTCAACATTGAAACCTTAAGTAACAAACAGATGAAATCTGATCAGTTTTATGTTCTATTAGCAACACATGATTTATACGTTGGCGTCCTCGAGGTCTTACCCATTTCAATGAGCGTCACGACTGTATCCGGCAGAGTTGGAATGCTCCTGGCTGTGTGTTCACAATATGCTTTGGCACATCGACCAATTTCAGTGATATCTAAAAAAAAAAACAGAAGCAAAAAAGCATTTCAGACAAAAGGGTCTGTTTCTGAATTTACATGTAACAAAAAGAGAGAGCATGGAAACATTGCTCAGTGGAGGGGAGGGGGGGGGCGCGACTGTTGAGGATTCATACTTACAGCTCTGCATCATCTCAGTGAGCGTTTCCACTGCTGCCTTCTCTGCACTCTCAAAGCCACACTCTGTCAGCAGGGCACTGACAACAACCTGCAGGGTGCGACGTCGGGCCAGGTGGTAGTTCTCTGCTGGGCTGGAAGCTGCTTTAGAACCACTCCCACGCTGACAAAACATGGAATGAAAGATAAGGTGGGTGAGAAGATATATCAGAAAAACCAAACTGAGCAGTTCCAATAAGGTCTTCGCACCCTCATTGGGTGCTCGGACCTTAACTAGGAAATGATCTGCATGAGAAAACGGGTTCATCGCAGCAGGAAAGAGAACTAAAGGCCCTTGCAACAGTCAAATAAACAAATAATATCAAAACATTAACCACCCCACCATGTTATAGGTGATAGACTTGACCAAAAGTTAAGGAGCATATGGGCACCTGTGCGGGTGGTGTAATATCAGAGGTCTTGTTTTTTTTTTTGGTTCCTTCCCACTGCTGCTTGCTCATAGGCAATCCAAAGGCAACTTTGGATTGTTGGGTTCTCTATTCTTTCTCTAAAATTCGTAAGATCTTCACATTGCTATGTGAAGTGCGATAAGACAGCATGTATTGTGAACTGACACTACATATAAAAGGAAAATTGAATTGAATTAGAAATATAACAAAAGAGCAAATAAAGGAGACTCTTCTCAATTTGATGTTATGTGCCACATTGTCACATCAGTCCTCCTGCCAGGCACTCAGAAATAACACTGGTCTTGAAACATTTTATTGTGATAAAATGTTGCTGTATTAAAGTGCAGTGTATCTCTGCACAGACAGCAGGAGAGAAGCACACACATGTATACACCAGCTGAGTTTAGGTACAGTAACCCATCCAGTCCTTCTTTATTGGTTTCAATAGGTCTTAAAGTTTCCACCAACATAGTTTTCTTAAAGTTTCTCTGAATGTCTCTCATCTTTAAAATTTCCAGTGCTCTCACCTGTGGCATGCGATCAAAAGAAAAAGTAAGGTTGGCCACATAAGCCTCACAATGCACGAATGTGTAGGATTTTCCAATTGTTGCGGTGACATTACGATCAAAAATTCCATTCAATTCAACTGTATTTGTATAGCACATATTTACAACAACAAGTCATCTCATAGCGCTTAACAAAGGCAGAAACACCCAACAATCCAAAACATTTGGATTCCCTATAAGCTTCAGCAGTCCGCAACAGTGGGAAGGAACCGAAAACCCCCGCGGGGGAAAACAAACCTCCGACAGAACCAGGCTCAGGGAGGGACGACCATCTGCCTCGACCAGTTGGGTGGATGTGGGATGAATTATACAATTTAGTGTACAGTTAAACAAGTTATTAGAAATTATTGTCTTTTTGTTCCTCCATTTCAAATGGAGCAATGAAATATTCCAAATCAACTGACTTTTAACTAATTTTCAGTTCCTTAGATGTTAGGAGTGCATAAATACTCGTGTGTTCACTCTTGCAGCAAATAAGAGAACATTTGGTGAGCTTTACACATGGCTGAGACATTTTAGAGTTTGCAACAGAAGCAGCTCAAGCAAGTAAATAAACCTAATGGACTGCGAGGCAGAGGCTCATTCTGAATGATTCACCTGGAAGCAGCAGTTGTGAGGAGTCAGGCAGGATTACACAAAGTTTTAGCTAAATGGCGATTAGTTTGTGGTGGTATGAAGCATTCTGGTACAACTGGCTTTTAAAGCTGGGAGGCAATCTTGTTGTGTGAAAGCTTCAGGAATGCCAGAAGTAACTGGATTCATATTTTCACATTTTTAGTGAACACCTTCTGGTTTAAACTACAACTACAACACTGAACAATAAAAATGTATGTGTGTTTTCACTATATGGGACCTTTAAAGTTGGTTACGTGTGTCCATTGTTGTAGCTGAGGTTATTATGTGGCCATATTTGAAGGAAACCGTGTACATGAATGCACACGTTTTCTTGCCACTGTAACGTTACACGAAAAAAAACACGGATTCATTTGTAGTTATAGATTATTTGGGGTAAACGTGAACGTAGCTCAAGTTAGTTGCCTTATAGCTTATAAGGAACTGTAGTAGGTTGTTACTGGACTATTTAGTCGGCATTTGGAGTTATTAATCCTGTTGAACACAGACGAGTGCCTCCTACAGTGTGCTCTGACTGCTAGCTTAGCACGGCTAGCAGGGCTACATCCTGCTGCTAACACTGCCCACAAAAAGCCGCCTCTTACCCCGCCTGTGTTCAGTGGACCTCCCGAGGCCACCGCGGGATCCGCCATCCGCCCTTGATCTCAGCTCTCCTCGTTGTGGTGATTTAACTTAATGTGAAAACAACTGTATTTGTCCGACGACTCGTTTAGCCGCCGCTAGTAAACACTGTGCGAGTGTATGACGTCATTGCCGGAATTAAACGAAAATACCGCCATTATATCAAGTACTGCCCCCTAGTGTGCAGCTACGAAACTACACCTGCTCCGCTTTCATTCATTCTCTCAACAGTGATGTTGGAGAATTTGGAGCAAATATACAAAGTGCAACGAGAAGTATCTTTATATTATTAATGTACAGTGTGGATACTTTTTCTCTGATTATTAACTTATTTGGGGGAAAACTGGTGATGTTGATGTTGCTGGTAAAACATACATTTGTCCCATAGAAGAGAAAACTGATCAAATAATCATTTAAGTCATTTTTGACTTAAATGATTAAGTAGCTTCAGTGCATAATTCGTGAGCTTTTTTGTTTTCTACTTTTTTCTATTTTATATGATTATAAAATCTATATCTTGGATTCTGAATTGTTTTTCAGACAAAATAAGTAGTTTGAAAATGCTACTTTGGAGGTTTTTGATCACATTTTTTGACATTTTATATTTCAAACAAGTATTGGCTTGTCAAAAAATAACAATCAGCAGATCAGCTTATAAAGAAAAAATCGTTATTTGCAGCCCCTTAGCTCCCATTAATCAATAAGTTTCTGCTAATGTCGAAATGATTACTAATTATGACATGTCTTTATAGATCCATCTCTTTGAGGGAAACTGCACTACAGCGTTTAATAAAATTATGGCCTGAGTCTGTTTCTAGCTGAAAAATACATTTATTAGAATGCATCATGAAATGAATCACATACATTCTATTTTTGTTCCAATACATCCATCACATCACATTCACAAGTATCTGCTGCCCAGCAGCCAGACGTTACTGTAACCTGCAGTTTGCATTGTATCTCATCTCATCTTTGCCAGTCATCAATGGGGAAATTGTATGTTTATCCAAATCTGAAATGAATGAACAAGTACAAAGGGACCAGTTCAACATGGCGATTTAATTTACCACTGGTACCACCAATGTTGTAACTGCTGTGTCCATTTATATCAGCAGGGGCACATGCGGCTTTAAGAAGCATGTAAGCGGTTGGCTGAGTTTCTCTGCCCAGCTGTCACCAGATGTTTGGCCTTGGCACCAACCGCTACCGTCTCTGGCACATCCACCACTTCAGTATGAACCAGGGCAGGGTGGGACTTCAACACCTGCTTCTTTTCCTTCTCGTTCTCCATGATAAGCTCTACTGGTTCGTCCTCAAAAGTGTCCTTCTCGACAAAGGGCAGGATAATCGTTTCCACCAAGCCACCAACCATTCCGAGCATCGCCACAGTGGAGCCGAGCATGTAGATCTTCAGCATGCTCCGGCTGGGCCTCTCCTTCAGCATCTCCTTAGCAAATGGAATGATCTCACTGAAGCTTTCCATTTTTATCTTTTTTTTTTTTTGACGACCCTGTTGAAGAAAAAGGAGGATTGTTTTGTTAAAGTCAACTGCCTAAGTACAAGATCTACGCTTGAAAACAAACTGGTTTGGGAAACAGAAATCATTATCTCTAATACATGCAAAAAAAAAAAAAAAAAAAGATACTTACTTTGAAGGACACACCAAAACCTTGACTTTTTCTTAGTGTTTGGTCTGACCAAGCATTCGCAGGCAAAGAGGAGGGGGCAGATCCTGCATTTTAAAGACAAGTGGAGTCAGGTTAACTCCCACTATGGAGACACAATGCATATTCATGAGGCTTAGGGTTTGTTTGGGGAAAAGGGCACGAGTTTCCAGGACAAGAGGCGAGACAAATACTCCCTGTACGTGACACTGTGTGCATGTTACATCACATGAGGTCTGTATGTGTTGTGCAGCAGATTCAGGAGACAGCGTTATATATTCTCAATAACCAGGTTATAATAATCCAAGGAGCTCCAGTATAAAGAAACTGGACTTCTCTTTTTGGTTCTTGAAGCTGTTTCACATCTCATCCACTCTATCTGCTTATCTACTTATCTATCTATCAACACCATGAGTCCATGGTAGTCAGTCATGTTGGCACAAACATTCTCCTGAACCTCATATGTTACTGAACAACACAACTGGTCGGCTTGTGTTGTGTGACTTGTTGCACATTGATCATCCTCAGCTCATCAGGAGAGCTTGGTTCGTGTCCAATCAGTATGTGAGCCTATGGAAAGCCAATCCCATTTATTGGTTGACTGAGATTGCTAGACAACTGTACTGGTGCATATAGAATTCCTCTTATTGAACACTGACAGATAAGCTTCATGAGAAGATAAGGGTCAGAAGAATCCCTCGAATCATGCAGTCCTGAGCTGCTCTGCCTCCTGCACTCCTGCACGCTGTCTGACAGCGAGGCAGTGGCAGACTGCAGGGGTTAGCATGTACGTGTGCGAGTATGTGTCTCAAACCTTCTGCCCTTTGACCTAGATCCCCCTGCAGGAGGGAAAGGGGTGAAGTCAGGCGAGTGAGTTGGGAAATGTGTCTGATCTTTGTCACAGAGAGACGTGTGTCATCAGAGCTCAGCGAAAATGACAACTGGACAACGTCATGAGACTCCTGCATGTTGGTTCAGCATCTGCACACCGGATGATGCGTGCTTCGCTCAGTAACATTTAATCCAGTTTGATTCGGTCATGGTTCTGTCTGTCCACAGGCCCACCACGTTTTGCATAGACATTAATGGGATAACGGTGATTCTGGTGATCCCCTGACCCTTCACCTAACATCACTTTGACCTACTAACTTTTCATCTGCTGATGTTATTATTGAGAGCATTTTGAGCTCAGGTACACATTACCCAGTGCTGCTTGCAAACATATTGTCAGCAATACTTTGAAGTGAGTAAAAGGCCAGAAAAGTAAAAAAAAAACATATATATCTGTGTGTGTGTGTGTGTGTGTGTGTGTGTGACACACACACACACACACACACACAACACACACACACATTACAATCAGGCAAAGTAACAATTTTTTAATTTTTCTGACTTTGGTAACATTACTTATTACATATTATTCTTCAAGTTTGCTAAATAAACAAATAAGCTGTAGAAAGAACACACATTCAAAATGTAGAAAAACATTTTGAAAACCACTCTGTAAATTCAAGGTGAACCTTTCGCACAATTTTTCCTGTTGTGGAAAGCAACCTTTCCTAAAACATTGCTGGAAATATCATTATAATAGCTCTTTCAATAATGTTTCTCTTTGAGCAACTCTGTTTGGGTTCTGGCCATTTATATTTGTCACTGTTGGGGAAAAAGGTTGAGACTGTTTGGAGACCTTTGCCCTATATTTCTTATTTGAATGGATGGTCTGTCTCCGTGCTGGACTTCAGCAGGTCAGCCATGCTGTGGCTGAGTAGGGTTAGTGGTGTGTGTAGATGTGAAAGCTCTTTCAGCAGGAGCTCAGGGGAGAAAAGGACAAAATACACATTCTTGTTTTCAAAAATAATGTTTAGAAAAAAATACATCCAATTTGAAAGACCAACACACACACACACACACACACACACAAGAGTTTCTGACTTTAAAAATAATAAAAGGAGATTCTTTCATCTTTAACATACTATTTTAAATTTCATTACCATATTAAAGGTCCCATATTGTGGCCTTTTTCAGCAAAAATAATGAATGTCAGATTGCGTTTTCAGTTTTTAGCTTAAAATCCTGTAAAGATGTTTTCTTTCACCATAACCGTATTTCAGTCACTATTATAGACTCATTTTGTTGTCTGACAACACAGGCAGAAGAAGAAAAAATGTATATGAGAACAATTTGAGTGAAAAAAAATGTTGCCACAGCATAAGTGAGCACAGAGAGCAGGAGAGAAGCTCACAGATAATAAAAAAACAGGAAAATGAACAACAGTGGCTTCATTAAAACACAGTAACCCACACAGTCCTTGTTTATTAACTTCAAATCTGTTTGAAAGTTTCCACCATGTTTGAATGTCCGTCAGCGTTTCCTACATCACTTTCCTCTGTGGCCACACAATGAATGTCTGCTAATGATAAGACTAGCCGAATTAGCTGTACAAGAAAGAAACGAAAAAAAAAAAACTTGATTAGATTTTAACATTGTGGTAGTGTTTTCTGGAAGAATGTCCTATATTGTGTTACTATGAGGGAAATTTTGTGTTTCATCATTTACTTATGTAATCTGCTTAGTATATCATTTACCTGTGTAATCATTTACTCATGTAAACTTGGGCAACTGATGCACAAATTATGTCTTGTATTTACCACTCACCTGTGTTGAAACTGTGACAAGAAAACTGCACAAAAGCATGAAATGTATGTGCATAAGTTAATTAGCAAACACACTACCATCAGAACTCATGTATGCAATAGGGGACATTGGTTGTTGAGCAACGAATATCATAAAACTGACCCCATGGCCGTAAGATGACCAGTACACGACCCGGGTGAATGCGCCAAGGGAAAAGTATTAAGTACATAAAGCTAGTACTCTTTGGAGAACCAGAAAACTGGGCGAGGGGCCAAATAACTTATCTAGCAATGTATTTATTTCCATCATAGATGTATAAAGAAGCTTGCTGAGAGAACTGAGGCACTCATTCTGGCAGAGTCAACAACTGACTGAGTCTGCATGAACAGGTACATTCAAAAAATCTCAGAAACAACGCTCTTTCATATGTAGGTATTTGTTCAATGTCGAAAATTTCTATAAGTTGCCTCAACAACATCCCCAAAACATCCTAAGAATACTGGGGGAAAAATGTACTGCCTTAGTTAAAGCATGGCATTATAGGCCATCGTCCAAGGCCTCGTGGACATCGTGAAAACATTTTTTTAATGTTGGTTTGACAATGTTTTCCTTCTGTTATCCTAGAACACAACCTGTCAACCTAACATCCTCTGAATGTTCCATTTCAAACATTATGTCTCAGTTAACTTTTAACTTTGTAAGAACTTTATTTGAAATAAGAAATATCCTTAAAAAAAGTCTTTGAACATTGGATTGAATTGTTTTCTTTAGATATGATCGGAAGTGATTGGTAATGTTATCCAATGTTTTTTCCCTGCTTGCTTGGAAGGATTTTGTTGTGGGGACATTGTAATCAATAATTAAACAAATGCACCGGCTGTTCAGTTTCTCAGGTGCTGGGAGTGCATGAAGATTCTTGTGTTCACAGCCAATAGTGGAACATTTGGTGTGTTTTGCCTGTGGCTGAGACATTTTGAAGTTATCAAAAGCAGCTTAGGAAGTGAATAAAACTGTTGGACTGTGACTCATCCTGAACAGCTGACCAAGAAGCGGAGGAGGGCAGTGAGGCGGCAGGATTATGTTTACATTTTTGTTGGGCTTGATTATCAATTTCTACTATGAGACTTAACAAAAGGCCAGGTTAGGTTAAAGAGAAGAAAACAAAAAGAATGACTGCAGTGAGCATCTTTAAATTCTCACAGCTTTTGTTTTACACCCCCGAGTTTAGAAATCTTTTAAAAAGATGAATTTTCACCATATGGGACCATACAGAGCTCCTCCTGTTATATCTTAGCAAATCCAGAAGATTCAAGGTTTACAGTAGTCTGCAAAAAATTAGCATGAACCTAAAATACACAGCTGTTAAGGCAACATAAATTTACTTTTGTTTGAACGGATTCCCGGTTTTAGTTTCATATGTTTGGCTGCATCTGTCAAATTTATGTGGTTACGAGGACATGTTTGGATTTGTGCTGGCTCACTGTAATTTGCTCTGGCTAAAACCTGCTGCTCTAAATACACTGTCCTCTGTAATCCTGGCTGTGCTGGAGGAGCTGATGTGACATCTAATCTGCTGAAGTACAGCCTGGTTATTGGCTAGGAGGTTAGTTTAATTGGGAATACCCGGTCAGGTCAAGAAATCAGGTACAATGAGTTCTAGTTTAGGATATATTTAGGTTTTAATTAGCAAAAAAAAAATTAGAAATGTAGTTGCAGGAATCAAACACAAACAGTAAAGGACAAGTAAATGGTGAAAACCATAAATGACAAATAGTGGATGAATTTATTTTAACTTAGAGTTGCATTCTGACTCATTTCTGTTTGTTGAATTGGAATGAGAACTTATAAATAAAAGGTGTCACATTTCCTTGCTGTAATTCGGAGCCAGTAAGAGTGTTTACAATGTTTAATATCAGGGTTTACAACCTGTTGTGCAGAGTAGGACTTGTTTATAATCTTAAAACATTCTTATAATAAAACATTAGTCCAAAAGTGTGTCAGCTCAGGGCGTGCCCAACAACATGTAAATTGTTCAAGATGATTATTTTGCACAAGTAAGGGTGAGTGTATGTACTAATCCCATGTTTAATTCTCTGTAAGTTTTCTCAGCTGAGCTTGCCATTTATGTTTAGTTTACACTCTGTCTTGTGCCTTATTAGCAATTACTTCTATCATTTTTCTATGCATTTACCATTAATTATATCCATCTATTGCATTTTCATTGAATGACGAGGAGAGAGAAAGTAAATAAAATGGAAGGAAAACGAATCCATAGTCTGAACAGGTTTTATTTCTGTGCATACAGGAATTCAAGCACAAAACATAGACACGATCAATATCTGCTGAACACATCAATACAAAGCCACATACAGCTGAAGAGACAAAAAGTAGACTGTCTAAAGTGAAATGCTTACAGTTGGTGGACAAACATCTATTACCATATATTTAGTCCAACATATAGGTTGATGGCATGTGAGAGCTATGAATTGGCAAGTTCCGGATATACTTGTGGCATTTCCACTGTTGATGAGTTGTTTGTTTAATTATACAATATAATGTTTAGTTTTGAACTTGTGACTGATCTGCTCTTTTTAAATATTTTTTTTTATATAAAAAAGGAAGCAAATATTTACAAAAAATAAAATAAAACAAAAATACACATGAAATAAAAAATACGAGACAACTTAACCAGAATAACTTATACCAATATGGCTTATTAGAAGCAGCAAGCATGCATTTTTGAAATATATATATATATATATATCTATATATATATTCTATCGTGCTTATAAATGCAGGTAGGCTATAAGATAAAGCTTTACACATGATCAAGTACAAGAACGTATCTTATTGCATTGAGTATGTCACTAACACCAAGTGTTCTGATGAGTTAAACTCTCAGACAGCAGCAGTCTGGGATGACTTCACCATAAAGGACGTGGAGCCCAGCGACCGAGCGAGACCATTTCTAAGCACGATAACCCCTTGAATACTGTCTAAAACGCTGTGTGTGTCTGAGTTAAAGTGTGTCTTGTGCATCTCGGTGTGTAACTGTGTTGAAAAACTTCATAGGCACTCCTCCTAAGACAATATGTCCCACAGTGGATCTCGTAGACCGCTCGGGTCCATCCAAGTATCAGCCACTGCTCTTTCTCAGTACCGGGAGAGCTGCTGACACAAAACAGCTGCATGCTGAGTGAACTCAGCGACACTGACCTGCAGAGGGCAGAAAAGCAGCCATGGTGAGACATATTTGCCTGTATGAGCTGAAAATGAAATTAAAAGTGTACAACTTGCTTCAGAAGGTTTGTTATGTGTCTTTGTGTCAATCAATACTAGTGTTGCCTTATGGAGCAAACCTTTATAGATGTACAGGATAACTGAATGGTATGTTTTGAGTTACTCTGTTTAATTTCAGGGAAAGTTAGGAATTAGAAACCAAACTTCATACATAAAAACAAAAACCTTTTTCCTGGAAAACATTTTGCACTTATATTGTGCACTCATATTATTAATTAAAGAAGCAATTTCAATACAAGTATTTTTTGTATTATTGTATTTGCTTGAACCTACCAAGTAAGCTGCTTTTCTTCCATGTGAACTTCCATGAAGCCTTTACATGACTGAGCAAACTCCGGTCTGTATCGTCTTGCTGTTACGGTTTTTGCCGTACCTGAAAGCGAAAAGAGAAAACGTCAGCCCTGTCGTGTTGTTAGAAAGTCAAAATTCACAACGTCAGATGGAGCGGACACACACCCATTGAGGTTGGCGGGCTCTGAGTGGTAGACATGCTTCCCCTGTTCGGCTATAGTGGGCGTGTGGTGTCCGCCACTCTGGCTCTGACTGGCCTTCAGCGTGTGGAAGTGGCTCTTTAGTTCGACATGGCTCAGAGGCAGCGACATATGCTGTGCCGCGGGTATGTTCCCGTTGACCTCCTCCACTTTGGGATCAAGCTTGTCAGGGTTGAGGTGTTTGCGGTTTTTCATCGGGGAGGACACGTCGATCACCTTGATGTCTGGGATGCTGGCCTGCCTCAGGACCAGCTCTGAGTGGGCCAGCTGCAGCTTCTTCATGTGGTTGATGGCTACAGCAGCATTGTAGGCTTGCTGTAAGATAAACATAGCAAAGAGGTTCACAAAGAGTCTACCTAACTACAGATCCACAGTGATGTTTGTAAGAAATTATGCTTCTTCTGTACCAAACCTTAGCATGGAGCATGTCCAAAGAATAGATTCATATTTATTTGTACTGCCAATCAATCAAATGTGTTTTGTTTCCTCTAACACAAAAAGCACTCCATCAGCCTTCCATGGCCTTGATTACAGAACAGTATCTTATTAAACTGTCCTTAATCAGGAAGGATTTAGGCAGGCACCCGATTAATCTGCTATAAACTGCAGCTCCTCAATGAGCTTACCACATCAAAGCCAAGAAATCAGCGTGGACTGACCTTCCATTTGGACTTGGCAAAGTTCTTTTGGATCTGAACGCTGACGGAATAGTAGATGTCGTGGCTCCGGGCTGTCTTTCCGATAATCCTGGAAAAGGGTTGACAGAACACAAAGCTTAAATTTATTTCAAGGTAGACGTTAATTCCAAATCCATCTGGGTGACCCGATGTTGTTCGTACGCAATGCTGCCTCTTTACGTCATCCTCATGTCTTACGCAAATGTGATTATGCGTCACTCAAATGTTAAACATCCAGGGATGTTACTTTTTTTTTAGGAGAGCAACAACTGCTAATTGCAAAAGGCAACACTCAGTTTGTGATTTCTATAACTGTAATAATAATAATATAAATAAAAAATCATTAAACATTGCTGACTATGCTCAAGAAATGCAAATGTATTGCAGGATTTTTCAAACTCATGTTATAAAATGAGTTTAACTGCAAAAGATGATATAATTAAACATGTTTTACAACCAATATCTGCGCTAAAATCTTGTGCCACTCACCAGGGATGTCTGAGCGCCTGATCTGTGCTGTAGCGCATGTTGGGATTCTTCTGCATCATGTTACGTATGAAATCCTTCGCTGAGATCAAAACAATTACAGACACGTTAGAGATAAGACAACATTCTGCAGCTGCACAATAGGTCACCGCTAACACTCAGTGTAACTACCAGATTCAGAGATGTCATCCCAGAAGGGTGAGTCAAACTCATACTGCGCCTTCATGATCTTGGAGAAGAGTCGGGTCTCACTTTCTTCATAAAATGGGGGATATCCACAGAGTCTGCAATGAAGACACAAGAATATCTCACCGACTCAATCCCTGCATCATCTTTTTTCTATTTAGGTAAAAGTCCTGCATGTAAAATCCTACTTGAGTTAAAGAACATACATTTTAGCAGCAAAATGAGGAGCATTAAAGTAAACACACTAGTTTGGTCCCTTTGATTGAGGTACTATCATATCCGCCATTATTAGGTTATTAACAGCAAAGCATCAGTGTGTCAGCAGCAGGTTGCTGTTGTAGCTTTTGAACTACTTTGTATGCTATTTTATACACAAGGACAGCAGCAAAATCTGAGAGCTCCAAACATGACTAATGGGAGAGGATCCACAAACATATGTTCAGTTTCTTCTCCAAACGCTGATTTTTGATGAGAAGTGAGAAATTTAGAAGGAAAAATCACCATTAGGTGGAGCTTATAACAACTTATAGATATGTGAAGCTGACTACACACTGCTGTTTGTAAGAAGCCATAGATTGTCGAAACCAACTGGTTAATTATTTAATGTGTATTTTAAAATCCTATTATATTATTCACTGTTTTAAATCTCCATCGTAAGAGTAACTAAAGCTATAGATAAATGTAGTGGAGTAGAAAGTACAATATTTCCCTCTGAAATGTAGAGAATGGGAAGTATCAAGAGGCATAAAATGAAAATATTCAAGTAAAGTCCTTCAGAATTGTACTTTAGCAAAGTATTTGAGTAAATGTATTTAGCTACTTCCCACCACATGTAGCCTTTAATTTAACAATCCTGACAACAAAGGAAGAGCTAGAGAAGATTTCAAGTCTTTACACTTACAAGATGTAGGTGATAACTCCAATAGACCAGCAGTCTACTGCCTTGCTGTAGGGCTTCTGTGCCAAAACTTCAGGAGCTGAAAATGAGAAAACATGTTGAATCTCTCCCAGTGATTTCCCCAAAGATGCCGGTATGTTGAGAGACAAAGGTGTAAATAATATATCTCGTCTGTACTGCCCCAGTGTTGTTGAACTGTGAGTTCTAATGACCCATTTCGAGCCTCCCACTCAGCGAGTGCCCATATATTAATCACCAGACTGACATGTTTCCTCACCTACGTATCCTGGAGTGCCGCAGGCTGTTGACATGATGCCGTTGTCTACCATCTTTGACAGGCCAAAGTCACTGATCATGATCTTGGAGTTTTCTTCCTGGCTGTAGTACAGGATGTTCTCTGGCTGCACGGGGACAAACGACACAAGATGATGTTAAAGTGCTACTTCTCCTTCTGCGGTGAAAGCAATGCTCAAATGTTTCACTTAGTGTAAATGGAACAGCTGCGAAACTCGTGGAAAAAGTCAAAGTAGTTTGATTGTCAATTAGATTTTAATTAAATGGAATATATCAACATTAAATGGAATAAAAGAAATATAACTATATATAAATATGAAGCTACTGCTGGTTAGCTTAGCATAAAAGCTGCAAACAGGGAAAATAACCAGCTTTGCCCTATCTAAGGTAACAGCGCCTCTAAAGCTCATTAACTATTTCTTGGGAAGGCAACCAACCAAGGCTCCTGAGAAATAGTCTGGACCATAATCACTGTAAAACCACACACTTCACTTTTTGCAATACTTTTATTTGGAAACTAACAAGACAATAACATGCTAAATTAAATAACTTTAGCTGCTGGTAGGCCCGTTGGGTTGCCTTTTGACAGAGCCGAGCCAGTTGTTTCATTTAGGCTTCAGTTCAAACGCGAAGCTAACCATCTGCGAGCTGTAGCCTTATAGTGAACATACATATAGAAACTGATATAAAACTTCTCATTTAACTCTTGGTATGAACATAAATAAATACATTGATAAAAATGTCAAAATTAACTCTAAGCATTTTTTCTTGGATTGCAACAGGTGGTTTGTAGCTAATGCATCAACATTTTTAGGTCCTTTAAGCTGACAGAATGCACAAACTGTATACATTTTGGATATTTAGCATATTTATCTAAAAACTAGAAACTGTAGCATGCTATATTGCATTAATACAAAAGCAACCAAATGTAATGCCATAGAGAAAAAGTATGTATGGGTTTGATTATGCTGTCTGAGTCGTACCTTGAGGTCACGGTGCACGATGCCGTTTTGGTGCAGATAACTGACGGCCTGCAGCACCTGCTGAATCACGCTGCTGGCATTTTTCTCTGAGTACATCCCCCGGTCCAGGATCCGGTCAAAGAGCTCACCGCCTGAAACACTGGGAAGAAGATACCACTACCATTAAAATTACATCTTAACTGCGATTTCATTAGCACATCTCCTCATCTGATAATAAGATAAAAGGTGGAAAACTCACAGCTGCATGACAAGATAGTAATGGGTCCGACTTTCGTAGAAATCCTCCATCCCCACAACGTTGTCGTGTTTGATTCTGTATGGGAAAAAAAAATGAAAAAAAAATGGCGTCATAACTTCCTCACAAAGTTCACATATATTCAACATAACAGGCACAACAGGAAGCAGGTCGACAGGACGCCCTCCCACGCTGACTCCTGACAGAATGTGAAATGAAAGCTGGAGGCTCATAACAATGTGCACGTAAATTACCTTCTGAGCACAGCTATCTCATTCTCCAGATTGAGATCCCTCTTCTGCTTCTTCTTCACACACTTCATGGCGAACGTCTTTCCCGTCTTCTTCTCCTTCACCATGTAAACCTCTGAGAAGGCCCCACTGGTAATCAACACAGAAACACATATTGAGAGTGAGTTAGTGATGAGCTAATCAGCGACTACTTTGAAACAGCACAGGAAGAGATAACAGGTCTACACAGTGGGAATGAGCCTCCCTCTTATTAGTCTGGGGCGGATGTGAATAAAGTATAAGAGCTGGCCTCTCTGTGGCTCCACTTTGCAGTTTTCTCAGCAGTCAGAAGCAGCCGTGGCTTGTTTTCTTAATTTGTATAAAATGATTTTTTTTTTTTTTGCAGAAATCCTTCATTTTCAGTGTTATGGTTTCACACACATCTAACTCTTTATGATTTCAACTGGAGAAATGTTGCAGGATTTGTTGGACATTTTGAGAAAAATATTTAGCATCGTATTTTTTACACTTTGGTCTTCATAGTGGTTCTTCATATTAGCTATAACACACAGAAAAACCAAGTTTTAGAGGTCCTAGCAGGCCAATATTCTTACCATTTGATAGAAAAAATTAACTCAATGACAAACACTGCAAGCTAATTTGAGTGCTGCTAAGATAGTAAAACACTATATAGGTGCAGACCATTTATCATTGAGTTTCTACTCCTGCTTTACTGTACAGATATACCAGTTTGTTTGTTTTTTTTTATCTCACTGTCAACAAAAAAGCAAGAAAAAAACCCTCTTAAAATTACATTTTTGTTAGATAATTGCATCGAACGACTTTACAAGGCTTTAGCTGTCACACAATGGATGCTAAATGTGTTTTCCTCCTTGCCTTACTGCGTCATCCAGGGACAGAAATGTCCTGATCTAAGTTTCTTGGAGAGCATCAGAATTAAAATAAACCAAAGCCAGAGATAGCAATATCAAAGGGTTCAATTAGGATCTCCCAAGAATCTCTCCGGCTTAACTATTCATTGGTGAGGAGCTTATTATTCTCCTCTGCTCTGTGTCCATGCTATCTTCAGCGTTGTCTGGGAATAGTTGTTCTACCGGGTGGATTAGGCTCTTTATCCCTGACGCAATGGAAACAGCGGCAGGCTGAGGGCTCAAGACGCAAAGGTCAGAAACTGAGCATGTGTGGCAGGAATCCTTGGAAACATCAAGCTCCTGCACAGAGTACAGGTTAGGTCACAGGTAGGTAAGTCAGGGGGCTGCTGGGAGATGTTGAATAACCTGCCCTCTGTCCTTAAGGTGACACATGAGTGTGCTGCATAAGTGAACAAAACTGATTTGATCGAAAGCTGTTTTCTTATTAGTGTCACATTTCTAATGCTGCATCTGCCTGTCACTTCACATCCCGGTGCTCAGCTGCTTCCATTCCCAGAGCTCATTTTCCTCCCAGGATCCCCTGAAAGAAAATATTTTGACTCTCAAGAGAAATCATCAATCAAGGCCTGAACATGGAAAGAGACAAGAGGCCAATCAGAAATCGCTGACGGGGTAACTTGTAAAAACAGAGCGTGTCCTTATTACCGGGACACAATCAGGATGTTGTTTCCATTATGTGCGATTAGGTCTGGTGGGAGAAGCTGCTGTTCTACGCAATCTCCTGTCCCTTCTGGATTCCCTTCCTCTCATTGTGATGGAAGAAATGATGGCGAAAAGACTAAATCAGACAACTGGGACTGTGCAAGACAGCATCGACATCTCTGACTGGAGTGAAAGCAGCAGAGTGGCTCAAACATGCTTTCCCCTTTGGTTCTTCCGTTTTAATTTTATTGCATGACAGCATCATTCTGTCTCGAGGTGCAACACAGATAAGCTCATTACAAGTACACGTCTTCACCCACTTTTCCTCCCAGCATTGGTTTTGTCAAATTGTTTGGGGAAATAACAGTAATTGCTGCAGACTGATTGAACTACATATGAGATCACCACACACTGGAGGGCCTCGCCTGCAATCATCGCTCAGTGGCGTCTTCAGCCCTCCGCTCTCTGTTTTCCCATAACATGGTGACGGGGTTCTGGCAGCATTTCAGCTTCCACCTTTATTTACTGTTGGCCTCTTAGTCTGTTGTTCTTCAGTCGCTCGCTAAATATTAAACAGTGATGCAGGATCTGCTGATTTTCATCATTCACATAACTAGCATGTTACAAAACATTACCTTTAGCTGAATTTCATAACTCTTTTAAAATGTTACTCCAAGTGAGCTTTAGGGTATGCTTGGAAATCAGATCAGTTTCTGTGCTTTCAGGACTGAAATAATTCCTTATTTTCAATATCTATTAATTGATTAATTAATTGATTTCCGTCATTCACAGATTGTTTGTCAAATTGTTTTGTTTGGTGTCAAAAACACATTATTCAGTTTTTTTCTACATTAGAGACACAGAAAATAAGCCAAAAATCTTTACTACTGAGAAGCCAGAATTAGAGTTTTGGCATTGGTGTTTAAGAATGGCCTTAATGGTAAATTGATGAAATTCTTTTTTTTTTTTTTTTTTTTTTTAGAAAAGTAGAAATAGCAGCATTTAATTATTAACTTTAGTTTAAGTATTGTTTGTTTTAAGTTTTGTTTTTGTGAATGAACTGCTGCCTCCTGAGACAGCAGTAAAGTAGGCCTCCTCATGTCAATCCAATCAACCCAGTAATCTGTCCTCAACTCAAATCGCGGGGTGAGGGTCTGTAATCACGCCATGTAGTTCCCCTCAGTATCTCTACAGGAACACGCCCAGCAGTGCAAAATACAATATAAAAGAAAGAAAAAGAGGGAGGAATTCCACATATATAAAAACTGAACAGGGCTCAAACCACATTAGATGGAATTCATGGAAATAAGTGTTAAATGTACTTACGATCCCAACTCTTCCATGAAGTCAAAGATCTCCTGGATGTTATCGGTGTCCTTCTTCCACATATAATCAGCCTCTTGGCGACCCATGTCTGCAGACGCTTCGGCAGGGATTTCTTTCGGAGTTAAATTGAAAGAAAGCACATAAGAATAGATGTCAGTTAACACTGAAGGTCCACAGTGTCCCTGATTTCTCAGTGTGTTTAATTTCTGCATAGAGCCGCGTGAAAACAAAGAATAGAAAAAAAGTAATCCCGGCTTAATGTTCAGAGTTCCTCATCATCTTAATCAATAAATCCTCTGCGATTATTGAGGAGTCATGAGAAGGCAGGGATGGAGGCCGGCATGTCTGCTGCGCTGCTCAGACTGTCTGCAGGAGGACGCAGCAGATGAGACGCGATGAGTCTTTGTCTGGCAGACAAAAGGTTGACGTGCTAATCCCTGCTCTAACTAGTTCACAGGAATGTGTGAAGTAGTGCCAGGGCTGTCCCACACACAGTACCAGGGCCAAAAGGACACCGTTTCATACAGCTGTGCATCAATACAGCCTCTTAATATTTTATCAAAGACAAAAAACAGGAATAAAAAGTATAAGATCAAACTTTCAGTCTGCCTGAATTCCTCAAACAATAAAACTTTACAACTGTCAAATTACTAACTTTTAATTTATCAAAACAACTTCCTGCACAAATCAAGATTTTATGCTTATATTAAGTTATCAGCATAACAACTCAAATAACAAACATTTATAAGGATTAGAGCTTGGAAAAGAGAATGACTGATTTATCCAACAACACTGAAGGTACTGAGAAGGATTAGGAGCACTTTAAATGAACAGGTTACCCAGTTTGTTTCCCTGCCCTCTTTTCTCTTATATAATGGATTAGTAAGTCCTGATCTGGAGACCTGACCTTGTCCTGGGTGAAAACACTAAGAAAAATAGCCCCCAGCAATTCACTTAGATGTCTAAACAAATGTCTGAACTATCACTAAAAAAAAGGTATCTTGTGAACATGTGGCATAAGCATTAAAAAAAAATCTATGAACAAATGAAGGGAGAATAGATTTTATGAGGTCATTCAACTTGAATTTTTCCCACTCTGCATAACCACATCAACTCTAATGCTGCAGCACACTGAAGAAACCACCTTTTATCTGACATTACTTTCAGTGTCAGCTGATCTAACTGATGAGCGGGGAGGATTCCCCTGCAGCAAGTCTTCCTCTGTTGTTATTTAGCAGCACAGGTCAGAACATTAGACTCAGCAGAGGATTCAACACCACAGAGAAACTCATTTACAAGTCGAAACCTGCAGCAGTGTTGCACATTTCAATTCATTTTTCCCTCCAAAGCAATTGCGCAAAAATATAAAGGAAATCTCTCACATGATCTTTATCCTGCAGATGAGTCTTGTCTTACCTGCAGGTTTACAGTCGAGTCACGCGTTTTTAGCGCCGACGCACAAAGGATAACACTGATAATGGCACCGGCTGCTCTGATTCTGTCTGACATTGGATGCGTTCTTTTCTCTCTACACTCGTGCAAACGACAAGTTGGCTGCGGAAAAGATCACTCTACGGAAGAGAGACTGAAGGATCGGATATTCACATGAAGCTTGAACCGCAGCCCGGACATTTAAAAAAACAACAGCAACAAAAAAAAACAACAACACCTAAATTACGCGCAGAATACAAATGAGGCAACGCTGATCTTTTGCCTCAATCCCGAGTAAAAACAGATAAATATGAAGAAATAGCAGCTGAGGATGTACACTAAAGTGTGAATATTGCAGTCATTAAGTTGGTAAAGAAGAAGCTCAGTGATGAGGACTCACCTAGAGACTGCGCTGTAGGAGCTCTGCTCTGACTCTCCTGCCAAAAAGCTCACCGACGACTGGACAGATTAGTTTGTCTGGGACACTGCAAATACCTGTTGTCAAGTCGGAGATTACATCCACGGAGACAACGGGGAGGGAGGGAGTCACTGCTGCATCACTGAGCTGTGAGTGGCTGCAGATTGGACACAAACTCAGCAGCTCATTCACAACAGTCACGGGCACGCGTACAGCCGCGCGTTCACACCAGACAGGAGCTTGATCCAGTGGACCAGCTGGTTTAAAATGCATGGCTCAAGATAACACCAATTACTATTGTCATGACTCAGGACATCACTTTTACAAGCCAAGGTTACATTATCAGTACTACTGCATTCACCATGGCATAACATTCATAGCTTTAATTAAACCAAAGTAGACTTAATTTAGCTTTATGATGCTGATGAATTTAAATATAGATATATATTAACAACAAATATAAATATTTTATAAACATAAAGTACAAAAGCCTTGTGTTCTTTCTCTGGCTGCCCAAGTGTTGGTGTGGGGGGTAATTACTTATGCAAAGGCTGATTTTGCATTTTATATTTGTAATTAGTAAAGATCAGTTTGCACAGATCTGTTTTCATTTTGACATTAACATGATGGAAAAAGCCTGGTTGAATCAGCTTTAATTTAGTGTTGTGCCACAATGAAACATGAACATGTTTACATTATTCCAATGTAATATTTCCATACACAATACAATAAAATAATTTACTGTAAAGATATTAATCAGGTTATAAAGCCTGTGTGCATTACTCCTACCACTACTACTAATAATAATGATAATAGCAATGCACCTATAATTGGGGATCAATGTTTAAATGGTTCATTACTGTGGTCTTCACACTAAAAAGTAATTAAAGGGATCTATTGTTATCACTTAATAAAATGCAAAATGGTTGCAAGATAAGATAATTTAATGATTTAGATTTTTAACAGTGATGCAACTCAATGTTTCAAATTTGCTAACTTAAAAACATGTGTTCATAATTATGGTAATTAAATACATCCACCCATCCATCATTTATACATCACTTAATCCTCACTAGGGTCGCGGGGGGGCTGGAGTCTATCCAGCTCAGGGCGAGGGCGAAGGCAGGGGACACCCTGGACAGGTCACCGGTCTATCGCAGGGCCACACTTACAGTCAGACAACCAAGCACACTCACATTTACACCTACGGACAATTTAGAATCACCAATTACCTCAACAAAACCTCAACATGTTTTTGGACTGTGGGAGGAAGCTGGAGAACGTGGAGAGAACCCACACTGCACGGGGAGAACATGCGAACTCCATGCAGAAAGATTCCGGTGTCCTCACCTGAACACTGGAACCGGCGACCTTCTAGCTGCGAGGCCACAGTGCTAACCACCGCTCCACCATGCAGCCCTAATTAAATACATGACACCTAAAAAAATATTTTAGGAAGGAAATGCTAGTTGGAACAACTTAATTTTTAAGTAATCAACTCAAAGCCTTGTTTTTATGCTCCGAGGCATTAAAGTAAGTGGTTAAAAATACCTTTGACTGTGGAGGAAAAGCTTATTCTTCTAAGATAGAGCATTATTTTTTTGTTTAGACTGTAGTTGATAATGAGGATGTAACTAAACTGAAAAAAAAGACAAAGCAGTTATGTCTTCATGTCATGTTGAAGGAGGATGAACACAAAAGCAAAAGAGATTTTTCAAACCCATGAGATGTTTTTATTGATAACCTATAAAGCACTGGTAAACAATTGAGTAGTCATTAGCAAGGACGTTTCTGAATCCCACCGAGTAAACATCGAATACGTAATCACTTCAGTAGATACTTCACACCTGGGTAACAGACGGCTTTTGCCTCCACTGCAGCATTAAGCTATAAGTATGTTGTGCTGCACACTGTGGTCTTCAGAGGCCACCTTTAACAGGCTTATGCATTAATCTGCATCAGGTGCTCATGCCACCAACCACACAGGGAGCCGTGCAGTATGCAATGACAAAGGACAGGTCACGCTGACAACACAGCTGCTGTGCCATGCAAAATTAATTATCCTTAAATATTTCAAATCAAATCCAGTCAGAAGTTTTATAGATTTAACAACATCAGTTTTAGGCTTTTCTCAAAAATGGAGAGACAGAATATCAGAAGCTGGACCGACTCATCGCGTTGTCATGGATGCTGGTTCAAGAGGTTGTCAGGGTCATCTTCCATTTCAGGTATTTTTCTTTTTAGAATCAGGAGAGAAAGCGTCAGGTCTGCAGGAAAAAAATGCTTTTATAATAAGAGTGTGATGATGGAGGTTAAACTGGACAAAATCAGCACAGTGGCTGGGTCAGAGGTCAGAGCAGCACTGAAGGACATCTATAAACACCAGAAATAGTTGCTCAAGGAATCATGCAAACTTAGATATAAAGTGTATAAAACCATTCTATATTTAGTCTAGTCCTGGGATTATACAGCATGTAACAGGACATGAATACATATTACAGTAATGAACACAAGCTTTCCTGCCAATAAAACTAATGAGTAAAAGGACAATATTTTCGGGGGGGAAAAAAAAAAAAAGCTTGGCTTTGTGTGGTGATATCTCCTGCTTGGGTCAGTCTTACAGAATTTACCAGCACTGAAATATCAAGGATAGATTTTTCACCGTAGCCAGGCTACTACAAATAGTACTTTTAAAAACACATCTATATTCTTTACATTAGTTGGTTTAATAGAAGATTTCAATATTATCAAATCAAGGTTCTTTGTAAGGTTTTTTCTAATGCGAAAATCATATAAAAATCCAAGTTTTTTATTTAGCTCGAAAGGCTCCATGGTAATCCATTAGTTAGTTTATCCTGTAATGACAAATAACAACAACAAAAAACAGAATTCTCTAATTTCAGCACCTAAAACGTCAATATTTTCTGGCTTCTTTACAATATTAAACCCACTATCTTTTGGTTGTGGACAAAACAAGATATTTGAAGGCATCATGTTTGACTTTGGAAAACACTAACTGAGAGTACTCATTATTTTCTGACCTTTATAGATCAAACAACTAATTGAATAATTGAGAAAGCAATCAACAGATTATTAGACTACAAAAAAATTATCATTAGTTGCAGTCCTTGTTGTCAGATTTTTGTAGCAAATCTGCCAGAGCAGTCAAAAGAATCCAAACTATTGCTTCAATGCAAATAAAAATTAAAAATCTGGAGCAGCAAGTTTTCTTATCCTTTGTTTTGAGGTACAGAATGATTTAGATGGAGGAGACATCATTATGTTCAAGCAAGATGATTTAAAGATGAACTCTGGAAATCTAAATCAATACACTTTTTGTAAAACTCAGTGAAAATCCGATCACAGTCAGTCAGCAGCTGTCAGTTCAGTATGTGTGTGGAAACAAAAAAAAAAAAAATCCAGTGTTTGTACACAGCCCCGAGTTTAAACGGGAAATAACGTGGCACAAACTGAGCTACTCAACACAATTCTGCACACTT